CTGCTGCTTTTGAAGTGATTTATTATATATCATATAAAGTATGTGTATTGGACACAGCTTTCTATGTACAGATGTACATGTCTGTTTTTAAATAAAAGTTTACTTGTTTTTTTATGAGAATACTTAGAAAAAGGTTATAGAAGAGCCATCAAGACAATTTACCTTTAACATGTTCTTATTCCAGTAATGGTGTCCTTAGTTGAACTTTTCACTAATTTCTATTCATGAAACATTTTCCCCTATATATATATATATATATATATATATATAACCTAACACTAAGTCAAAATTACTCCTTGCTTAAAACATGACACTAAAATCTATAAGATTTATAAGACTATGATTACAAGCTCTTCAGCACTCTCCACAGAAATGAATGAATTTGTCTGGTGGTTTGAATAGTAAAAAAAACATGTTTATTGATTGATCCCTTGGAAATGACACCCTGGTGTGCTCCGTGATGCTCACTCACCACGCGTTATGGATATATGTACATAACCTGTATATATATTAAATACACATATATTTAAATAAATGTAATAACAAATTTGTCTTTGTAATCTTTATTTTTTGCAGTTATAGGTTCATGTTTCATGTTCTTTTTTTGGAACATGAAAAATAAAACAGGTTTATATGAAGAAGTTTTTAACCTGAGTCCAGGTGTAATTTCCTACTTATCCAAGTCAGTGCATTACACCTATATGCTGCTACCGGTGGAGATCCTGGCAAGAACCTTTTGGCACAGAGAAACCTAAGGAGAGAACCTCTGGCAGTCTGTTTATTTCTTCATTTATTTCTTCAGATGCAGGAACAAAAGAAAACAAAAATAAAACACTGGAGACCTATGGAGTGGGAATGGCAGGACGCTGGGGTCGTTCTTTGAAAAAAAAGGGATCAAGCCAGCCATTAGCTGGACACACCTGCGACTGTGTCCATGATGTAGGGATCCTGTTTCTGTGCCCCACAACAAAGAGTCCTCTATGGACTTTCATTTTCCTGCTTTGGGGGCAGGTCGATTTTGATTTGAGTTTTGATGTCAACTTGTCACATTTCCACTAAACATTGCTGTCAGAAAATTAGGCCTAAGAATTGGAGGAGGACAGAGATTTAGGTCATGTCTTCTATGTTATGGTGAGCGAGCTTTGATTCTTAAAGCTGTGGATGACTAAATACCCAACGTGGGAATCAAGCCCATGACCCTGAGATTAAGAGTCTCAAGCTCTAACGAGTGAATGAATACAATATGTAATGTAATGTATTCCTTAAAATGTTACACTCCACTGTGTGTGAAATTCATCCATCGGCTTCTCTGGATTCGTGTTGGGGAGGACGCAGCTGCCCTCTTCTTCCGGCTCTCTTTGCCTGCTTGCTATCTTAAACTACTTCTCTGCTGAGTTGGACACTGACCCATCACTTGAATTATCACCATAACCATTATTTTCTGCATGAATGATTCAGAAATCTGAGTTAGGCAGGGCTTGACAAAGAGAACTGGACTGAAAAAGAGAGAAGAAAAGCAAAAATCTCTGGATGAGCTTCAGAAAGCTGCAGAACTGCAGCTCAAGATCTTTAGAGGGATAAAGAAAGTCTGGCTGATTGAGAGCAAAGTATAAAGAAATGAGGGCAGGGTGGAGGCTAATTTTCTGTTTTGCACTCCAACAATCTTTCCTTCAAGGATCATTTTTGGTGTGCAAAGACCAAATGTCATGCTGCACTGCAGATGAGGAAACTCCTACATCCTACAACAACCTGAACAAAAAGTGTGCAAAGAGAACCACATTTTGTTCAAACTGATCATAAACATCTCATATCTAACCACTTCAAACCATAGCGTCTGCATCATATCACAGCATTGACCTTCAAAAATTACAGCAAAGAGCAAAGCATTAGAATCAGATAATGATAAAAATCAGACAAAGTAGAAAGAATAAAGCCTGTAATTAAAAATTTGGAGTAAAACCCACTAAGAAGAAGACAGTCTTCAGATTCCACTAAAACGTCCACAGTAGCTTTAATTTTGATAACTTTGGAGCTTTAAAGAAAGCAGGAAATCATCTTCTACTCCATCTATACAGGCCAGTCACTTCATAAAATCATAACAAGCTATCAATACGCGTGAAATCTGAATCAGGTTGGTAGTCCACCTTAAAATAAACGGTGGCCTCTTCATCCACCGACAGGAAACAGACCTCAAATCAACCCGTTTGGTTAAGCTACTGGGCACATATCTACTCTCAAGCCTCTGCTCAGGTCATCTGTAGATCCACGCCTGCTAGATTCTGCAGCAGGTGTCACAGCAGATAAAAAACCCCGTTTCCCACCCAAACCAGGAGAAAGTTAGTCCTTTTTGTACAGCTACTGAGACCACAGGCCTAAACTAACTGTACACCGAGGGAATCTGATGTTATTTCCATTCAAATTTGAGTCTTTTAACTATCCTTCAATGTTCTATACCCATTATTCCCAAATGGGTCATGGAGGAGGGGTTGGAGTCTATCCCAGCAGAAAATGTGTGAGAGGTGGGGTGCACCCCGGACACGCGGCCAGCCCAGTCTTTGAACTAATTAAACTAATTTAATGTTTGACTTAACTACTTAAATGTACTTGTTGTTTTCTTTTAACTGAGTGTTTTCTCTTCTTCTTCATGCTTTTCTTCTGCGGTGCTCCTGTTTGCTGGTCATGGGTATGGACTACTGGCTTTCTTGATCTTCTCCTTTCTTTCTTAAAAAACTCCTCTTTAGAGTTCCAAAGAATTTTCCTTTAGTCAGCATTTGTCTTTTGTTGCTTTCTGCAGTTGGCTGTGAGGTTGTTTCCAAAGGAGCCACTTCAGAGGGAGACTTCTCTTCCTGTTTGATAAGAAGGTTTCCAGATGCTGTTGCTTCCCCCATTTCAGTGTTTTCAGCCGGTAGTCGATGTACCAGAGTATCTAAATGCTGTCTGATGGTAGAAATGTCTGACCACATGTTGTCACAATCCTTTGCAAACCTTCTCTGGTCTTTTATAACACATCCGTATGTTGGGCTCTGCTCCAAAGTCTCCAGGTTGGTACTTGTTGAGGGAGGACTCATGTTATGTGTCTGTGTGTGATTCAGGTGCACATCTGGCTCTGGATCACTGTCCAGAAAGCAAACCCTTTTCTTTGCACTGTGTTTCAAGCAACTTTTTACAGGTCTTGGACTTTCTGTTCTTGTTTTTTTGCTTGCAGAATCTTGAAGATGGTTGTGTATTTTCTCCAGGCCAGCTTTGGATTCCACCTTTTGAACAACATCTGGGGTTTCCTGCTCTGCAGGCTCCTGGATCTTTGCTCCAAAAATGTCTGCATGGTTCATATCTTGAGTTACATCTTTGTTTTCACCTGAGACTCCTGCAGTAGCATGCAGCTCAGTTTTAGTTCGGTCTTGGCTTTTGACGGGGCGAGACAGGGATTTATCCTGCTCTCCTAACTGCCTCATAAACTCCTCAAAAGACATTAGATCTTCCTTCAAATCCTCCTTCAAATCCTTGGTGTAAGCTGTGGTGGCTCCACTGGTCGGAGTCCTCTGCTGGGTCTTTACAGCTGAAGACAAAGATGACTCCTCCTCTCTGAATTCCTCCAATAATTTCTCCAAAGGCGACTCCATCTTCATGAAATTGTCGGTCAGCTTTTGATTGTTGGCTCTCAGGAATTTTAGTTGCTGTGTGTTTCTGAGGTGTGACCAATCCCTTATTGTTTCACCGTAGTTTGTGGTGTCCAGGCTGCATACAGATGAGGGAAGAGATTCTTCAGGCTGCACTAAACTGTCTGTCAGAGTCTGATAATGAGCTCGCAGAGCGTCAAACCCTTCTGTTCTCACAGTGTTCTTTGACAGAATTCTCTGCTGTGAACTCAAAGTTGGAGGAGATTTGTGTGTGGGGCCGGACTCAGCCTGACCTTGTGGCAAAAAACAGCAAATCTGTCCCTCATCGTCCATGAAATAAATGGGGTTTTTCCTCTCCTCACTTCTTGTCTGCTCTGACTCGTTCTGGCTGGAAGTTTCAGCCTTTGTTCCCAAAGCTTCAGAATAACTTTCTGAGAGCTTTTCCAGCTCTTTTTTGAGTCGTTCCAGTTTGCCTACTTGAGATTGAATGCTGTCGTACACCATGTGGTCCAATAACTCCTGGTAGCTTAAGTGGTCTTTAGATGCAGCTCTGCTGTCTGTGAATTGTTTAATCCGATCATGTGTTTCTCTTATCAGATGGTTCAGTTCTTCTTGGCGGGCTGAGATGTTTTCCTGAACGATCTTCTCCAAATTGCTTTGGTAGGTTGAGGTCTTGTTCAAGATTCCTTTTTCCACCTGAGTCAGTTTGGAAGCATAAACCTCTCCGAGCATTTGAGCTGTCTGTATCACTCCAGCTAATTTCTGTCTGTATTCCATGTTCAGCTGGTTGTTGTATCTGATGGCGTGGTGAACATTTTTATTTAATTCCTTTATCTCTTTTTCCAAGTTTTCACCTGAGGGCTCCGACTCTGTCAAGTTCTTATTTGGTGAATTGATATGTCCGTGGGCAGGTGGTTCTTCATGGCGGCAACGATCAATTCTTTCCTTTAAAAATACAGTGAAATCTTTCTCCTCTATTGTCTGCAGTTTAATTTCTGCTTCTCTGTCTCTAAGCTTCGTGAGCTCCTCACACAGAGACTGTCTGGACTCTATCAGAACCAGGAGTTGTAAGTCTTTGCTTTCAAAACTCTCCATTGTTACCTTGTGTTCAAAGGACATGCCCAGAAATGTGTCTGATGGAAACTATACCCAGTGGTGTGACATCACCACTCTATGACATCAAAGAGTGGGAGGGGCTTGTCACTATTACATCACATATGAGGCAGGGCTTGTTAGCATGATGTCAGATGAACTGTCTGACACACTCAGCAGGGAGATTTTAAAAACAAATCAAGTCATACTTATCCATAGGATGTGAGGAGGGACAGATGTTTAAAGGGGCGGGGGGGGCACAGTGGAGAGTTGAGACTCAAAAAACGGAAGTTATCTGCTGCGGAACCAAAAAAAAAGAGAATTTATAGAATACAATTTATTGGTTATACATGTGTTCTAAAACAGAACAAATAGAACATTCAGTCATGTAATTCCATTTGGCTGCAAATAAGCCAATCAGTGAACAGGATTTGGTCATGTGACTTCATTTGGCTGGAACTAAGCCAGTCAATGGACAGGATTCAGTATCCTTATTGAAGTATCCTTATGTGAAGTCAGTAAAACTAACTCTGTATGCAAGTAGGTCCAAAAAGCAGGTCAACTGCACCACTTACAATTAAACAATATAAACAAGTGTGACGACTATGTAAAACTATGTGGCGACTCCAAGAGCACAACTCAACCAAAGAAAAGAATAATAAACATGAATGTGGTCATGTAGCATATCAAAGAAGACCAGAATTGTCTCAGATGCATATTACAACAATCAGATTTATAAAGTCAGATTTACAAATCAGATTTATAAAGTCAGATTTACAAATCAGATTTATAAAATCTGATTGTGGTTCAGAAATTATCAAAACAGCAAGTTGTTACATCTGGACAAGTTGCCTCTGATATATATATATATAGCTGCAGTAGTAGAAGACTTGTGTACCCCTGATCTTTATACTGTATTTTAGGCTTGTCCCGATCCAATATTTGGATCGGATCGGCCGCCGATATTTGCAATACATGCTCTGATAGGCAGGTATCGATATCGGATCGGAAGTGCAAATACAATGTAGGTATCGGATCGGAAGTGAAAAAAGCTGGAATGGGACTTCCCTACTGTATTTCTTCATAAGATTACTTCTATAACCATAAAATAGTTATTGAGGGGTGAATTGATTCAGACGGGGTACTACTTAAGGCCTCCTCCAGGCGGTCCACCACTGATATATATGATATATATATTTATTAAGGCTGTAAAAAATAACGCGTTCATTTCTATTAATTCATTTTAGAAAAAATAACGTAATGAAAAAAAAATAAAGCTTATGAATCAATATCGTATTGACCTTTGACCCAGAACTGTTCTCGTCAGTCACCATTAGACCAGAAATGGTTGAATCTTTGATTAGACTCTAAAATGAAAAAGGGAGACGAGATTGCGGTGCCTCTGTCATTGATTTCATCATTAAGTTATTAAAAAACGGCCTGACGGAAGTGTTGATAAAAGTCATCTGCAATGTCGGCAGAAAGGAATTTGCTTACCACCAGAGTGTGTCAACACTTAAGTACCAGATAAGTGCAAAGAATCCAGGAGTTACCCTGCAGGTAGGACCACGACCTACCACGTCCTGTGATACAAACTTTAGCAGTCAACCTCATCATCAAACCACACTGGAGCAAACACTGAAACTAATCAAATCTGCATCTGATAGCATTTCCCTTGCTAAATGGATCACAATGTCTTGCAGACCAATTTCAGTGATAGAAGACAGGGGGTTAGCAGAAGTTTTGTAAATAGCCTCTTCAGACATGACATATAACCCACAATCACGAAACACCATTATGTCAAAAATCCAGCAGCTGTACGGCACTGAAAAACAAAACAAAAGGAGATGTACTGGTGGGAGCAGAACATATCGCGCTGACGGGATCACTGGACTTCAGTTAGCAATCAAAATTACCTTGGTGTTACGGCACACATCTTCGACTGTGAATGGAAACTCCAGTCATTTGCGTTAGCGATGCTAAAAACGGAGACCAGGCATTACGCCGATGCCTGCGCCCAGCAGTTTTTGTCTGTGCATGGGGAGTTCAACCAAACATCACCACAGTCGGCACAGCTTCCATACGAGCACATGGCTTGTGTTGCTCACATGTTACTGTGGAGGTTCCTCCACAATTAACCCAGTGTTAGTATTTATTTAAATGTTTCATGCCATACATTTATAATTTAATTTGTTTGTGTGTCTATTGTTTTAGGTTGTTTACTATTATGGGTGCACACATTTAGTAAACGCCTTTGTTCGGTAATTATTAATTATTTGTTTGCTGAGTTGAAGGGCTGGCTGGGAAAGAGGACTGATGGAGAGATGAACCAGGAAGTGGAACAAACCATCAGGCTGCTGGAAGCAGGGGACCTGATGTTAAAATAACTTTCCTCTTTCTAGTTATAGCATAAGTCCTTAAATATTTTGATGTTAGGTTTGATTTGTGTTTGTTATGGTGTTGTAGTTAAAATATGTTGGTTTAAATTAATTGTTTATGTTTATACACTGTTTGTCTTTGCCTCATCTCCCACCCCTTCTTGTGTGTGTAGGCTAGCCTTTGTGTTTAAATTCCCCTGTGTGTTCATCCTGGAAGGTCAGTTGTTGGTTTGTTATCCTGAGTTAGGTATGCTTTAGTTGTTTTCTTTTGGGCCCATTTTTGTCATATTTTGGAATTTGATGTTCTTTTTTGGAAGAATAATAGAAGCATCTCTGTTTGCCTCACTGACAGTGGGCTTTGTGACACATTGGCAAAGTGTC